CCATAGGAGTTAACGTTTACCACGCCCGTGGTACCCAGATCTTCAATTCTCGTGGTGAAGAGATAGATGCTCGAGAGACCTTCGGCTTGACCTCTGCTGATCTGGAGTCGCGAGAAGCCTTTGCCGCTGCTCTTTCCTCCATCTCCAGCAGGGCTCCCAACAAAGTGACTATCAAGGTCACCTTCACCAATGATCTTAGCACGGATTCCAACAACCCCGATCGCGCCAAAGCTCAGTCCGACGCAAAGTCAGCTGTTCAGTCACTACTTAACGCTGCTTCAAAGGAGTTGTCTTTGGAAGGAAAGACTTTGGACGTCATCTTTTTGAACGACTACCACTCCAGTCGTGGAGAAGCCACGGAACATGTCACGTTTACCTTTGACGAAACTGTTTGTGCGGGAACTTGTACAGGACATGCGTTCGGATCTGGAAAAGGGGAAATTTTCAAGCACGATCATTCCAAGATCTTCAGCAAAAAGGTACGTCTTCTCTTCTTGTTGTGTTGGCTCTGTTAATCTGACGGCTGCCTTACTTTTCATTCCTAAAGTAAACATCCCAGTAGTGTAGTGGTGCTCCTGCTACGTGGTAGTTGCCCATTCAGTGTAGAGTAGAGTCGGAGTATAGTGGGGACATTGAATGAAACGAGGATTTGTGTTATCATTAACTTTTCGGGGGATTCAGACCAACTTGTGACAGCATGCAAGCGATGAAGTGATGATTTCAAACTTGGAAATTTTTTTTTGTCCAGGGGTATTCTGTGTTGGATAATTGAGCCCTCTATCCATGCTTGAGAGAAGCAAAGTTAGAACGGCCCGAAAAGTTTCGAACAGTGCCCGAATGAGAAGCAAAGCTGGCACGGATTAAACCTGGATTTAATGTACTGTGAACCGAACGAACTGCGCACAATTATACCTCGACATAATTTCTTATCTGGAAATTTAACATCTTAGTAGACGTATGTATATATATGTGGATCGTAGACTCTGAAAAGTTGTTCAATACCGACTTACTTGGTCCTATCCTATCCTTGGAAGCTCTGTGAGCAGCACAATTAAGATCAAGGCGCCCGTCCGATCAAGGAAAAGAACAAATTCACCGTCAAAATCAAAATCTATCATCAGCCATCAAGAACTCATTAGCGGAAACTCAGACCGAAAACTGTCAACCGTCAGTAATACGCGTACTTGAAAAGACTTGAAACGATTGTTCTTCCCGACCTTGTAGAACCTGTATGGACTCTGTGTCAGGTACTATGTGTAGTGGGCTATGTATGTAGTACATACCCCGCTGCCCGCTGTAAATTCCCGAGTGGAGATGCAAAAATTGGGTGAAAATCCGGAGTTCATCATCAGAGTTCATCAGAGGAAGAGTCTACGTAGACTCCGATAGAGTTTGTAAGATACGAAGACAAAAGATAAGGCAATTGCCGTACATCTGGTCCCGCCCGGTCCCGAGGTGTTGCGCGGAGTCAACCCTGGTCAACCAGTCGACGACGTAGCTTACTTTGGCCTATCCTCCCGACAGTCCGAGGGCATACTACCAACGTCCCTCAATCCTATGTCTGTCGTCATCGCAATCAGTTGCAAGATGAGAGATCAGCAGGTGAAAAAAAATTCTTCGGTGGTTTGTGTAAAAAGACACACATGTTGAATTTCTCTGAATTTGCAGAGATGCTGAGACTACGAGTAGATCTTCTATGTGAAATCTATCAGTAGTGTATTGAGCAGGCCCGGCATGAGCAGGTTCTTCCACCCATTGAATCAAGGCAAGCCCTCCTACTCCACAACATGTAAGCAAAGAATGAATGGACTCACTGCGGTTTGTAGATTTGGTCCGCGAGCTCTAGACGTGTCAATTAGTGTATAAAAGGTGACAGAGTTTCGAAGGATAGTTCCTCAGCTTCTGGCAAGTCTCTCTTAGCACCTACACCACTCCCTTTGCCGGCCAAAGGAAAGTATCAGTGTTCCTTCGTCTTCACTCGACCTGACAACCGAAAAAAATCTCTGATCTTGCTCTTCCCTCGCTCGAGTCCCGTCGCGAGGCTTTCACCTACTCCTACTCACTAAATTTAAAACTTGACCTAACCCGTCGTTCGCCATGCGTTTCAATATTGCTTGCTTATTGTTTGGGCTTTTCACCGCCGCTTCTGCGATACCTGTATGTGTTTTCGAAAAGAAACAAGCGATGAAAATATTCACTTAACCGTGTTCTGGTTTTCTAGGTACAAAGCAACAACAACAACGGTGCTGCCGTCGAAGCTCGCGCTCCTTCATCCACTGATAGTGGTTATGACCTCCGCGAGCTCGGAGGCGCTGTAGGCGTCAACGTCTACCGCGCCCGGGGCACCCAGATCTTCAATTCTCGCGGCGAAGAGATCGACGCTCGAGAGACTTTCGGCTTAACCTCCGCCGACCTAGAATCTCGCGAAGCCCTCGTCGCTGCCCTCTCCGACCTCTCCCGACGAGCGAAAAACAAGGTGACGATCCAGGTCACCTTCACCGGTGATCTCACCTCCGAGTCCAACAACCCCACCCGCGCCAAAACGCAGTCCGTTGCCAAGGCGGCTGTGCAGAGTCTGCTCAACGCTGCAGCGAAGAGCTTGGATCTCGAGGGGAAGACGATCGATGTGGTTTTCCTGAATGATTTCCACGAAAGTCGGGGAGAAACGATCAGTCATGTTACGTTTGAGTTTGAGGAGACGGTTTGTGAAGGGACATGTACGGGACATGCCTTTGGAGGATCTAAGGGGGATATTTTCAATCACAACCATGAGAAGATTTACAGCAAGCGCAGCAAGGTATGTGCTTACTTTGTTTCTGCTTGTGTGAAAATTCCGAGTTCTGATCCGTCTTTTTCTTCGTTCTTGCAGAAGTAAATGTCTACTGCTTCGCACTGTTTTGCCCTCTGGTATTTATCCCGCTGAGTAGATAGTAGATAGTAGTCTAGTATGGATAGAGATGTCGAATGAAACAGGAATTCGTGCTTTCTCTGTCTGGATTAACCTTGTTCTGACAATTCGGACCTACGATAATTGAGCAAATCACTGAATCTACAAGCACCCCAGAAAAAGGCTCCTCCACATATATCTAAGAAAAACATAGAGAACTGAAGGGTCGGTAGCTGCTGGAAGATAGAGCTCAGAATATCAGCAGAATTTCAAGTGTGAACGAAAACATCTCACGGCCCCCTAAGTTCTGCATCAAGCCAAAAACCACATTCTCCGTACATCCCCAACTCATCGAAGAAGAAGAAGATTGGAAGATTTGGATACTACTATGCAAATAGTCATAGTCCCACATCCATGGATTGAATCTTACTACCAAGTCTATTGCCTTACATCGAGCGTCCGAGGATTCTAATGATTCCTGAATCGTCTCCGTCATGCACCTTCCCTTCAATTCTGTTTCTCCTGCGTCTTCTTCTTCTTCTGTTTGTTCTTCTTCCTCGAACGTTGTTCCTCGCCCAATCCAAAGTCCGAATCCAATGCAAAGTCCAAAGCAGACACCCATCCAGAGTCCAGAGAAGACACCAATCCAGAGTCCAAAGCAGACACCAACGAAGTCATTGCGGCACCATCGAGATTACACGTACTTCTTTCGAATGCCTTTTTTTGATAGCTTTGTATCGATATCTTTGGGAGTGTGTTGATGCTTTGGCTTTTTCGACTTGGGTGGAACGGCTGACGCGACAGCAGCAGCGGTGGTGGTGGTGTTCGTCCGCGTCGGTGTCCGTGACGATAATGATAAACGCGCGGTTCGAGGTTTGACTTTGGCTGCCTCTCCCTCATCAACATATCCATCGATGTCTCCCTCATTCGACAAACCTATCTCCCTTTTCCCTTCATCCTTTTTCTCTTTCTCCTTCTTCTTCCTCACTATCACATTCGACCCGCTTCTCCGCGTCGCCGCTTGCTTTTTCTTCCCCTCGGCCCCAACTTCACCTGCCGCAGGTTTGGGTTTGTCCGGAGAGGACAACGGTGGTGATTCAAAAGCAGCGTTGCCCTTCACATGCGTCACAGCAGCGTCCGGTTTCTGTTTATATTTGGGGTTGGATTTCGATTTCGGCCTTGCAGTACTTTCCTTCTCGAGACCTCCTTTATTATTATTGTTATAGACGCTGGCAAGTGCGTTCACAAGACCAGTATCCTTTATTGGAGATGATTTCGGGGATGTAGTGGTAGTCGTAGTGACCGAGTGTTGATGTGGATGAGGAGCAGTTATCGACGAAAGCGAAGTTGTCGAAGGTGTTGTTTTCAGAGTAGAAGAGACCTTCGAGTCCGACGCAACTTGCAATTGTAGCTTCTCCTTTCTCCAAATCGCGTGTCGTTCGCGTATTTTGTGAATCTTTTGTTGACGGGCTTGCTGTAGATCGAAAAACGATTGATTAGTTCAAGTTTTATATATACGTGAAATTTTTGTAAGTGAAAAAAAGGACTTTGGATCGAGAATCCAGCAACCCGACTAGGTTATAAGTGATAGATTACAGTCATCGCTCACCTTTTTCAAAGCACGTTTTGAAATCGTTGGAGGTTTCTCTTCGGATTCCGAGTCATCTTCCATATCTACGACCTCGGTCCCCCCCTCATCGACATCACTAGAATCTCCTTCTTCCTCCTCCTCCTCCTCCTCATCTTCCCCGCTCTCCCCCTCCTCCTTCCCATCCTCATCCCGGTTCTCCTCACTCCCCGACTCCTCACCATCAGACTCTTCCGAATCCGAATCCACCCCACCCAGTCCCAACGCTTCCTTCACCTCTTCATCAAGCCCCAACGCTTCTTCTTCTTCCTGCCGTTTTCGTTTTCGTGCAATGCGTTTGAACATTCCTTTCTGGGTGGGATTTTGACTGTTTTGTTAGTAGGAGAGGAGGGGGAGAGGAGGAGGCTAAGCTGATATGATTTCGAGAATCACGAGATTTCAATTATGTATTTACCGCCAGACCCGATACGAAAAAAATTTAAATTGATGATGAACCTCAAAAAAACTGTGTTGGAAAGATATCATAGCCCACCGCGAGGGTCGAACTCGCAGCCTTCAGATGCCCGCAAATTTTTAACAAAGAGAAGATAAGAGTCTGACGCTCTATCCGATTGAGCTAGGCGGGCATTGACAATATTTCTTCTATGTGGATTGTTCTGGATATTGGAAAAGCAAAAAATCTGTACATAATACAAATGCATTCTAGATCTGTGGATAAAAGAGATGTCCTTTGCTCTTATTCTACCCAAGCGGTGCAAGAGTCTGGGTTAATACATAGAGATGGGAAGAATACATGTACACTTAATTTCAAACCCCTCATGACTGCGCCTTGAAGATTCCTCGATACCTGTTTGCACTCTTTCACATCCTGTTCAAGATAAGCAGCGCTCAGCATCCGAAAGCAACGACGGCGACCAAAAAAAAACTACTCACAACAACGCCAACGTCAAATCCCCATGAATCCTCGCATTAATCTCTACCGCCACATCAAGGTCCAACTCCAGCTTGAGCTTGATAACATGATCATCATGCGTATCCAGATCCATACCCCTCAACTCATCATACGAAGGCAGCCCTGTCCAATTTTCCTTCTGCACCAAGGTCCCATCGGGGTTGGTTATGGGTTTCCCCCAATGGTCTAGAGGCTTGACCATGATACCGGGGTTATCACCGTAAGGCCAGGTGTCGACTCCGGCCAGAGAAGAAGAAGAACGGGACCAGTCGCCGAGGGAGAGTCCGGAGACGGAACTAGCAGTGCTGACGTTGCTTCCTGCATCAGAAGCCGCATACGCGGGGCTGAAATCCCTCACGCCCTTAGGTCGTTGAAGCACCCGGCCGGAGGTGCCGACGCCCTCGCCTTCTTCGTCTTCGTGGGGCCAGTCGTTGACACCATGCGGAGGCTCCAGTCGACCTGGTTTGTCCCCATGAGGCCATTTATCCACGCCAAAGCCTTTAGTGCCTTTCTTTCCACGACGACGACGCTTTTTCTTCTCCTTTTCGTTTTTGCCGCCGTCTTTGTCACTGTTACCGTCGTCGTCGATAGACGTCTGCGTGTTACCTTGAGCGTTGTTGTAGACGGCGTTGTCGCCCTCGCCGTCTTCTTCGTCGACGTCAGGGAGCTCGGGCTCTGGATTATTAACTGTCGGTGTGGGAGCACGGTTTTCCTCGTCTGATCCGGAAGCAGAAGAAAGGCTTCGAGGGGTACGGCTGCGACCTCGGGGAGTACGTGGGGGACGGGAGTCACGTGTGATGGATGGAGAAGAGGTACGTGAGGCGGCTTTAGAAGGCGGCTTGGAATTGTGGGATGCCTGAGAGGCGGGTCGGGAAGGGGGTTTGTTAGATGCCTGGGAAGCAGGACGGGAGTTGGGTTGTTGCTTTGGTTCGTCCTGAGAAGCAGAACGAGACTGGTCTTCGACCTGGCTTCTTGGTTCGTCCTGCTGGCTTGGTTCGTCCCGCGATCGAGGTCGGTTGGACGCTTGGGAAGCAGGTCGGGATTGGTTTGGTTTGGACTCGACGTCGGGGTTGGAAGTGCGGGAAGCAGGACGAGACTGTTTCTCGTTCTCTGCTTGGCTCATTTTACTAGGATAGTGGGGATCAATAAATGAAGCAAGGAGGGCTGAAGCACACTCACCGAAAAAAATAGATAGCATATAACCTCTGTCGTCACTAATCGTCATAACTCCACCCTTAGTATGAGCTCATCGTAATAATTCCATTTCAGGCACGCCCCACAGAGTTCAAAGAGACGCCCATGAGCGCCTATGTATGTGTTACTAGGGCCTCTGCATGGTCTAACCAGGTCTAACCTCTGCAGTGTCTTTTCTCTCTGCCCCATAGCGAACCTTATCGTCGACCAAATCTATGTACATATACCGGCAGATAACTTCTTGCATTGAATTTTATACAGGCATCTTGCGTCGACCCGCCGGAAACATTGTTACCGCACATGGTCCACTTTCTACGCATAAACGACGCTGATAACCCCGTTTTGTTTTCCTTCCCTCCCTTCACCGCTGGTCGGTAGTATTTTTTTCAACAAAACCCCCGATTTTGTGCGCGAGCTCCTGATTCTGAAATGCAGCTGCTTTCTCCTTCTATTAAATTCTACTTCAGCTTTTGGATCGGTGTACTCTTCCTTGTAGTACCGACTATGGCCGTGCCCATTGGTCCTACAGATGTCTGTGTCCAGTGGCTCTCTATCTGTCTTATCTGATTTATCTATCGTGACTGTCATAGGCTGGAGCGTCAACTTCAATGACCGGTGGATTATCTGCTTCCAACCCAGACCTGCCAGGTCAAGGCACAGGCGTAGATCAGAATGCTTATGACCAAGTCCTTCACGCCACGGATGCCAATACTCGCCAGAATCCCATCATCGAAGCCAGACTCTGGATCCACCACGATATCTTCAACCACGCCCCAAATTATCGAGACGCCATGGGCTATGCTGTTGAATACATGATGAAGGCAATCCAGTCGACGATTTTAGAAGATATCCGCAAGGATAACCCGTCGTTAACGTTCGCCAGTCCGACTCCCGTTCTTGTGTATCGTTTTTCGGCCAAAAACTTTACGAACCAGGGTGATTTTGAGATTAGCTTTTCTGGTGTTGCTGGGATTAATTCGACACTTCCCGAAAACTGGTGGTTTGCAATGCCTGGTTTTAATGATCCGTCTTATTTTGGGCATATTGATCTGGAGTGTCTGGTTCGAACACTGAAGGGATCGTATACGGTCAAGAAAGACTTGGTTACCGGGAAGATATCACGGCGTTATCCAGAAGAGAACGAGGAAGTGTTGGTAGCCTTCAAGAACGGAAAGGTACGGTACTTATTCTTTTGAACCTTTAATCAATTTAAAAAAGGCTACAAAGTCGATGAAGTCTACCTTATCTCGAGTGAAGTCATTGTTTGGGAAAAAACCTGCTGGGGCGAGTTCTTCTTGAAATGCATTATGTATGGCACGAGAGAAGGTTCGTCAAGTCCTGACAGTCTATACATGCTCAAAGCCAAGTCTGATGTCGAACAGTCAACTATGGACACAGTACAGTACATATGTAGAGTCTCGCAACTACCGACAAGGTTCATCCGGCTAAGTTACGGACTCTTATGCGTTACATTCCAAAACATTTTACCCGCAGCATCGATTGCCCATGGTTAACCGTTGATCAATAGAACTGCATGCCTGTGTATACAGGGCATCTTAGGTCGACCCGTCGGAAAGATTGTTACCTTGTTACTTGCCTGTTATTTGCACATGGGTCACCCAAGTTTCTATCCATAAAAACGACGCTGACAACTGCAGTTTTTTTTTTCATTCCCCCCCCCCCCATCACCGCTGGTCGGTAGTATTTTTTTCAACAAAACCCCCGATTTCGTGCTCGAGCTCCTGCATCTGAAATGCGGCTGCTTTTTCCTTCTACAAAACTCTACTTCACGCTTTGGATGGGTGCACTCTTCCTTGTACCGACTATGGCTGTGCCCATTGATCCGCCTTACAACGTGAGTGTCGACAACGAGTCGCGTTTTCCTCTCTATCTCTATTTTTCTGAAGTGATTTCTCTCATGCGACAAACAGTTTGAGCCTTTAATGAGCGGTGGATTATCTGCTTCCCACCCCGACCCGCCAAATCATAATAAGGCTTATGACCAAGTCATTAACTTCACTGATGTCAATATCGGCCTGAATCCCACCATCGAGGCCAGACTCTGGGTCCACCCGGAAATCACCGATTATAAACTACCGACTCGAACCGCTGTGTCCTGGGCTGTTCAAGATATGATGGAGCCAATTCGGTCGACGATTCTAAAAGATATCCACGAGGATGATCCGTCATTAGACTTCCTCAGTTCGACTCCCGTTCTTGTATATCGCATGTCGGGGAAACTCTTGCCATTGAACGAGGTGATTCACTTTGAGATTAGCTTTTCCGGCGTTGCCGGATATACCAAAAGGAAGTGGTTGTTTGCCATGCCTGATTCGGCTGATCCTTCGTATTTTGGGCATTTTGATTCGAAGTGTCTGTTTTTAAAGGCGGATAAGAGTGGGCTTGAGGTCAAGAAGGAGCTGATTACCGGGAAGATATCACGGCGTTATCCGGGAAAGAACGAGGAAGTGTTGGTATCGTTCGAGAACGGAAAGGTACGGTACTTGTTTTCGATTATTTTTTTTTTTGCAACCTCAACTAATCAAAAAAAAAAAAAAGGCTACAGAGCCTGTTTCTACATAAAGAAAGTAAAGTTCGATGTTTAGTTTGTCTGGAGTGAAGTCATTGTTCGGGACAAAACCTGGTGGGGCGAGTTCTTCCTGAAATGCATTATGTATGGAACGAGAGAAGGTTCGTCAAGTCCTGACAGTCTATCGATGCTCAGAGCTAAGTCTGATGTCGATATCTGAACAGTCAACTACCGGACACAGTCCAGTACATATGTAGAGTCTCGCAACTGCCAATTTATATACATATATGCTCTTTCTGCAGGATGCGCTTCCCTTCCTTTGATTTCTTTTTCGATTTCTCCAATGATTCTTGCGGGACTACTGTGCAAAGGATGCAAGCCACGTCTGCTCGCCACCTTGCGCTATCGTTGTATCCGCGCCTGTACTCGTCGGGTTGAACAAGTATGTACAGCATACAGGAACACACGAAGATCCGTCGGGGTCACTGAGCTCAAAAAATTTCGAATAAAAGAGGACTTTGAACTTTCTGCGTTTCCTTCCATCCCCCCCCTCTCCACCGCTGGTCGGTCGAAAAATCCGGCATCTGCAGTGATTCTCAAGTGTCTTTCGCAAAACACTTTGCACGTCGTGCTCGAAGTTCATTTTTTTTAAACGATGCACTGGGTCTTTGCTTCGACGAAAGAGTTTTACTCTGCTCTTTTCATGAGTATACTTTTCCTTGTGCCGATTATGGCTGTGCCCGTTGCTCCTCAGGACGTGAGTGCTCGTTTGTGGTTTGCTCTGATATGCTTTTTCAATTGATTCCTGTACCAGCCAAAAGAGATGTATTTGATGAGCGGTGGATTGTCACCTGACGCACCTAACACCCCTCATGCAACTAACGCTACTACCAACGCTGCGGTACAACACGTCGAAGAAGATGATCACGGTCATATACATAATGATCCAT